AAGTGATACCACAATATGGGATTAGACCACTCTGTACTGTTCAGGTTCCATCCTTTGGGTGAGAAATCAAACCAAAGCTCTGACCCCGCATGATCATGAAAGAAACAGTGGCACCCAGTGTAAGAGTAAGCATGTTAATTCAGATGTTCTGGATGAAATTCCAAACTCCGGTAACTATATTCTACCAGCTAGAAACTCTTCTGCTGTTCCAATCAGATATGGTACTGTACATTATTTTTCTACCTAACTAAATTGTTGTGTGGTTATTGTGTGCTGTTAAGCAACAGCCGTGATGCACCCAAAGAATGACTTCATTTCAGTGGTGGGATAAGCAATTCCTACATCTCTTATCTACCTTAAGATGTGAGACAGACTAATTTGGGAGGTGCTTTAGGTCCTCTGAAGACAGGAAAAAATAAAGTGCCAGATTAGTATAATCCATCTTGTCAGTGCACACTCCCTAGTCTGGTACCTTTTCCTATCAGCAGCTTTCTTGTACCATGATCCAACAAGCAGCTACACGTCCATTTCATTCAACATAAGGTCACTATTATCTATTTATATACCTGCTAACTCCTCTTCATGCACTGTGGTTACCATAGCTCCCACACCCAGCGTGGAAAAGGCTCTTTTTGTTCGTGTGGATTTTTTCCAAAAAGCCATGGCAGGTCAGGGGTTTGGACCATTACACAGGCATTTGGGAGGGGAGGCTGGTTTCATTCCATTTTGTTTTATAACAACATTGCTGACACCTTGCCCTCTCCTTCTCCTGGCTAGTTACATTTTGTTTTTTATTCCACTTGAAAAGTGACATTACAGCTATTTCACAACTTCTATTCGTGAGAAAATAAAAAATGGAACATGGAAAAAAAGAAAAAGGAACAATGCTGTCTGGTTTCTGGTACATTCAGTGGGAAAGAAGAGAGAACATTGAAAATGCAACTAACAAGCGTTAAAAAAAAGTTCAGAATGTTAATCTGCAGTAATTGACACTAGTTGCTGGGGGGGAAGGGGAATTAGGGATATAAAAACGTCCTAAAATAGTTAACTGATTAAAAGTTTTGTTTAACCGGTCAATTGCTGCGAGTAGGGGAGCATGTCAAAGCATTTTACAAAGGAGAGCAGTGTCATTAGCCCCATGTCACAGGTAAGGATGCTGCAACACACAGAATTGACATGACTTCCCCAAGATCATCTAGTAGGTCAGCAGTAGACCCAGGAATGGAGCTCCTGAGTCCCAGTCCAGAGTTTTTCATATAATTCATATTTCACATTGTGCAGCCTAAGGGCAGTTTAACTTGTGCTGGCAATAACTGACCACTAGGGGAAAAAACAACAGTGGGTCTGCTAGCACTATAGACTAACAAAACATGACCCCTTAGGGGTCATTCTGAGTTTCTGGGATTGCTGGAAGGCAGTGCTCTCAGACAAGCTCCCTCATACCCCAATATGCCCCTAAGCTGGGGGCGATGGAGTGATACAAGGAGTAAGTCGATATAGGGCTGGTTGTCTCTGTTTTACTCCAGCTACAGATTCCCATACACAAGGAATAATTTTTTAATCAGTTTACGATTTTTTGGATCAGTGTCTCTTCCCCCTTCCCTCCCCCAATACACACAATTTCTGCACTACTAAATCTACAAAGCTGCAGAATAGTCAACACAGATATTTAATTGGCCTTCTGTGGTACAAAAACTAGAGCATTATTTTCTTGCTATTTGTATTTCCATTCAGTTTATATTTCAAGACAGGGAAGTGAATTAAATGGTAACCTCCTAAAGTAGACATGACTGGAGAAGCTGCTACTGTGTAAAGAAAGCACATTTTTATTGCTTCCAGGCCCTCATATGCATGTTTAAGATTGTCTAAAAGGTTCAAAAGTGATAAAAAACAATGTAATGTACTCAAAACAATTACTTACTGCAATTTTCCACAAGGTCAAGAGCAACACTTGTAGCAATATCCATGCCAGTGTTAATGTAAGACTGACAATTTTTCAGAGACGATAGAGAAGAATCCACACAGTTGAACGAGATCACTGAACCCCCAGGCATCTTGAAATAATTGCCTTGGAAATAAAAGAAAAGTGGTTTTAGAAATAAATCATTTGGAAAAATAAATAGAAATACAAACATCCAACCAAGTCCCAACATCTCTAATCACACACTGGGGCTGTGTCTAGACTGGCAAGTTTTTCCGCAAAATCATCTGCTTTTGCGGAAAAACTTGCCAGCTGTCTACACTTGCTGTTTGAATTTCCGCAAGAACACTGATGATGTCATGTAAGATCGTCAGTGTTCTTGCAGAAATACTGTGCTGCTCCCATTCAGGTAAAAGCCCTCTTGTGCAAATCATTTGCGCAAGACGGCCAGTGTAAACAGCATAGTACTGTTTTCCGCAAAAAAGCCCCGATCGCGAAAATGGCGATCAGGGCTTTTTTGCAGAAAACCGCGTCTAGATTGGCCACGGACGCTTTTCTGCAAAAAGTGCTTTTGAGGAAAAGCATCCTGCTAATCTAGACGTGCTTTTCCGAAAATGCTTTTAATGGAAAACTTTTCCGTTAAAAGCATTTCCGGAAAATCATGCCAGTGTAGACGTAGCCAGGCTGAAGAGCAGGGGTGAAATCCTGGAAGCTTTGTCCGTGACTCCACTGAGCCAGGATTTCACCCAGGCACACCCAACATCCTTGGTGCAATGCCCAATAGTACTGAACTGCAGAAAATGGCTTGAGGCTTTCACATTCTCATTCACAGTTTCACTAAAGATAAAATGCCCACTGATTATAAGGACTGTTTTGACAGGGTTTCTGACAGATCTTCTGCTCCGTCAATGAACTTTTGGGGGGTGGGGGTGCGCGTGCGTGCTCCACCATCTACCATATTAAACATGTACAATGAGTCAACACAACAGACTCTGAGAGAGCCCCCAGAGACCACAACTCAGATAAGGATCAAAACCACAAGGCCAGGTTTATTACCAAGTGAAGTACAGTAATAGTTGTCAGCAAACAGGTTCACCACTGCAGCATTATGCATATGTGCAACTTGACAATGGACTAAATCAGTCAATACTATGGATCCAGCATTGTCCCCTAGGTCAGCCAATAACCACTCTTTGGGATACACTTTTATATACAAGTACAAACAAATTATACATTATTCCTGACGTATCAGGTTGCCACCCTCTTACATTACCTAGATCCACCCATTGCCTTGTACATAGGTGTTCAGTCAGGATCTCCCATGCTGTCAGTTTAGACCCATCTTGAACCCGGGTTGGTATGGTCCTGTTATCTGCATGGTGTGTGTTAGTACCAAGATATTTTTTAACAAGGTGCTCTATTATGACCTCTCTGTAATGTGCTTCCAGCCTGTGCCTAGTACCTTTGAGGTATGAGTGTTTCTGTAATATCAGCCCTGTCCTTGTCAACTTCTGTGAGCAGGGCGTGCCTCTTGCTCACAGCTTAACTCTATATTAGCAAAGACTTGACCATTGCTGTCTAGGCCTCAGGCCTCATACCCTGCTTGTAACACATGGGCTTATATTTAAGACGCTCATCTTACTACAGTCCTCAGAAGAAACAATGTTCACTAAGGCTACGTCTAGACTGCAAGCCTCTTTCGAAAAAGAGCATCTAGACTGCAAGCAGTACTTTCGAAAAATCAAGCCGCTTTTTCGAAAGAAAGCACCCAGGCAGTCTGGATGCTCTCTTTCGAAAAAGCCCTGTTTGCATTCAAGAACGCCTTTTTTCGAAAGAGCACTTTCGAAAAAAGGCGTTCTTCCTCGTGAAATAAGGTTTTCCGCCGTTGAAAGAAAAGCCACATTCTTTCGATTTAACTTCGAAAGAACGCGGCTGTAGTCTAGACGCAGGTGAAGTTTTTTCGAAAAAAGCCTACTTTTTTCGAAAAAACCCTCGAGTCTGGACACAGCCTTCCAGAGACCATCAAAGGAAACACCTCAGTCCCAAGAGTACAATACCCAACTCCTACACTGACAAAAGAGTGATATGACTATATTACCAAAGTGGTCACAAAAATAACATTCAATGCCAGTAACACACTGGGGCTGATAACAGAGTCATACAAAAGTAACATCTAGTTTTTGTCACTGCACTATAAAATCTGGATTTGTTCTTGGAGGATGATCCCTCCTACACATTGTATGTACTTTGATGCATACACATAAGGGGATTAGGGATGTAAGCAACTAGTCAACTACCCAATAAGCATAGGCTTATCAGGTAGTTGAGTGAACTAGTCCCTCCCCCCATTTTGCTGCCTCTATATCAGAGGCAGCAAGGGAGAGAGCAGGAGCCAGTGCTGGGAAGAGCTCTTAAAATCTGGTTCCCCCCCAGGACCATCTCCACAGAGGGGGAGAGGCTCGGCAGGAGAGGCTCGCACAGTGGGAAACGGCGTGAGTGAGGACTATGACTGTTGTGCCTCTGCCTTTGAAACGTAGCACGATTTCAAAGGCAGAGGCGGTGCAGCGGAAACCAGGGCGAGCAGGGACTCAAGCAGATTACTCAATTAGCTCATTAGTCAAAATTTAACAACCCTAAAGGGGACTGAATAAAGGTTAAATGGACACCAAAATTCTGACATTTCCTAACCTAAATACTGAGCGCTTGACCTTGCAATCTTAATAATATTCTTTTAGCAGTTTTTCATGTACATTACAATTGTATGTATTTAAAAATCTACTCCAGTGGTTCTCAAACTTATTTTCACAGACCACTTGAAAATTGCTGAGGGATCTCAGCAGACTACAAAATGATCTTTCTAAATGTTTGTACTGTTAACTAACTATTGTAAAGCGCTTTGGATAAAAGTGCTCTATAAAAAACCCAAAAAACTTTAATACGCTATTTCTGGTCTACAAATAAAAGCACACAACTCGTTTTAATATCAGTACTCAAAAAACTCACAGTGGACTCACTGAGTTTTTATAAATGCTCGGGCACATTAATGCATGGCTTGGAGTCTGCAGACAGAGCCCTGTTTCAAAGAGCTTGCAAATAAAGTCTTTACACTGCAAAATACCTAGCAGAATTCCCTACCAAACCTAGTGCTGTTCTCTACTTAAGTGTCAATAAGAGTACTCTGAAGAGCTAGAACTATACCAGATAACAAAGATCTGTCCTTAATACGGGGGTTCTCAAACTCTGTGATACCGCTACCCCCCTCTAAGTTGCTCACGACCACCCGGGAGGTTGGGACCCACAGTTTGAGAAATGCAGCCTTAATGGTTTCCATTCCTTTCCCACAAAATAATAGAAATCACTTGTCTGGACACGTGACTTCCATTAAGTTTTAGCGGTAGTTTGGGGAGAGATGTCTCTCCCCCTCGACTGCAGCTATAGAGCTGGAGCTATAGCTGCAGTCTCCCCCTCGACTGCAGCTATAGAGCTGGAGCTGGGAAAGGAGCAGATATCTCTTCCCCCTCCTAATCTCAGTAGCCAGCGAGGACTGCAAAGGAAGGAGGTTTCTCTCTCTGTCCCCCGCCATGACAGCCCCCAAGTTGGGGTTGGGAAAAAGGGCCATCTCTCCCAAGCAGCTGCAGCCCTGAAACTGGGGGAAATTGCCTCTCTCTCACCGGCACAGCCCAAATTCCCAACATCCCCTCTTTGCAACCCACTACCCTCTCCCACATAGCCATTGTTCCCCCCAAGGCCACCACCTCATCTTACAAGTGTATCACTTTCTGAGTCCAGGCACTTAATTAGTGGAGCCATGCCCATGTAGCCTCACTAATTAGGTGGGTGGCCCTTCATTATTCCCAGTGTGGCAGCACACCTTAGCTTAGAGGGAATTATCTCTGGACTACCTGAATGGAGCTCCTGGGCAGCTAGTGATCCACAGACCACAGTTGGAGAATCTCTGCTCTAATCTTTTGAAAACTGCTTGTTTTATTAGATTGTAGGATGTTAGGGCAGGCAGGGATTGGCTCTTTCTCTGTGTTTACACAATACATAGCATAATACATCTGTGGATGCTACCACGCTATAAATATTAAACGACAACAACACAGTAGGGCTGGAAAGTGCCTCCATAATAATCTAATTCACGCCTGTGAACTTCTGCATGATTATTTTCATCACTGAACAGCACCTTTGGACTCTTACAGAGCACTTCAGAAGTACCGATCCTTGGCATTTTTGTAGCCCTATTCATCTTCTTTACACTGTTGAATATGAATTCTCACATTGATGTTCTGTGCTGTAGGAAAGCATTACACCCATTCTTCAGACTAGTGATGTGAAAGACTAGTCAGATAGAGGCAGCAAGGGGGGAGGAAGAAGAAGGGGTACCTCAAAGTGGCAGCACCGCTTGAAGCCTGGGGCCAGACGCTGAGCTACACATGGTGCTGCCACTTTGAAAAGCTGTGTGCCTTCTGGGGCCAGCTGAGGTGTCCCCAAGCTGCACACAGTGTTTCAAAGTGGCAGCACTACACGGAGCCTGGAGACAGCTGGGGAATCCACAGCTGACCCTGGGCTCAGTGCGGTGCTGCAGGCTCCTTGTGGCATTTCAAAGCTGCAGCGCCTAATGGAGCCTGGGATAAGCTGGAGACTCACCCCCGCTAACCCTGGGCTCCATGCGGCCCTGCCACTTTGAAACAACGCCACAGCATTTCACGGTGGCAGCTCTGCACGGAGCCCGGGGTCAGCGGGGATGTCCCAGCTGTCCCCAGGCTCCACGCGGTGCTTTCACCTTTGAAGTGTAGCAATAGCCCTAGGGTGCCCTATTGACTAATGCATAGACTTTCAATTAGTCATTTACCCTATACTTAACATCCTTACTACAGACAGAAAACCTAGAGATTTCACCACAGTATTCTGTGCAAACCTGAGGTTATAAATTTCCTCTTGTAGTTTTACATAAGAACGGCCATACTGGATCATACCAATGGTCCAACTAGCCCAGTATCCTGTCTTCCAACAGTGGTCAACAGCAGATGTTTCAGAGGGAATGAACAGAATAGGGAGGTGAAAGGTTAACCAGTTAACCAATAAGCATCACCCTAAATGTGTAATGCTTACTGGTTCCAGTTAACCACAGGGGCCAGAGAC